ATATATTTGCTTGATTGAGTTTATAAAATAGTTGAATATTACCTTTTCAAATGCTCTGGCTGATAAATTGTTTGTTAGCCTGGTTACTTGACTGCCGTTTGAACGTGAAGATATAGGTAGTTTTGATCATCTTTCCTTTTCTTGTTAGATCTAGACAATTACTCATTGTGTACCTTGGGCCAGAAAATTTAAATGGAAAATTTCAGGAATAAATAATTCATAAGTTTTAAGTTGCACACTATTCTGAGTAATGTAATTCCTGCCAGGCATCATCCAGTGTGTCTATGCTGTATAGACTATCTACCCTATGAATATGTGAAAAGTACTTGAAGTAGCACCTTGTGTATATGATAAGCGCTCAGTGCATGCTGACAGTTTTCATTAATGTTCTTTTCATTGTTGTTTTGTATTATTTGGGACCTGAGGCTAAACAACTGGCTTTACTTCTGATAGTTAAGCAATGTAATTGTAATGGAAACTGATTACAAAATTTACAGTATTCTCACCATGTGATGCTCTCTATCCAGATAAATGATAGACTCAGGGTTAGCCTTCTGCCGTTCAGTCCAGTCTAGTTCTGGTCTCCTAACACAATTACGTGTTACCTTCCCAAAGTCAAGATGATATGTTACCCTGTCTTCCTTATATATCAAAGATTTTCTTTATTCCTTGCAATTCTGTAGTAGTTGGAACATGAAGAACTAGAATAAAATAACATGAGAAAAATAAAATTTTGGGGACTGTTTAGGCCTTTTTTTTGAGTGACATTTTTAAGTGGTTGGGGTGTGGTTCAAGTGGTAGAAGCTTACCTAGAAAATTCCAGGCCTTTATTTCAGTCCTGTGTGTGTGTGTGTGTGTGTGTGTGTGTGTGTGTGTGTGTGTGTACAGTAAAGGGGCAGGGGATAAACTTCCTCGTAATGGGTTAATACTATGTCACTGCATTTGATTGCAACTGTCTGTTGTATATCATTTGTTAAGCTTTTTGTATAGCTCTGAGAAAATCATTCATTACTCATGAATAGAAAATTAAAACTCAAAATTGGTAACCCTTTTTGCATCTTAGGGTTAGATTTGAGTAGGGCTTTAATAGGCATGGTCTCTGTAAATTTCTTCTGTCAGGCATTATAATGCAGTAATCGAATGTGACATTAGTTCAGTAACAAACGTTGAGGGTGAAATGTGGTCAGTATAGGAATTTTTGAGTTGAATGAAGTTACAAATATTTCTTTATTGAATAACCCTGAGAGTTTTTAATACTTCAATATGCATTGTAAATCTATTAGAATAACAGAATGTGTTGCTTTTTATAAAACCTTCATCACAGTAGCTATTTTTCTTTTCAGAAACTCTTTACTATTTTTTTTTAAAATTAAAACATTCTGAGCAATCCATTTGATTATAGATGAAATAGAGTGTAAATACTTTGGAATGACTTAGGGTCATTTTCAGTTCAGTTGGGAATAGTGGATGAATGACAAGGCTGCAGATATATCATTAGAATATGTTGAGCAAAGAACCAGCAGAATATTAGTAAAAATGGAGTATGAATTATGTGTGTGGCCTTCTAGAATAGTGGTTCTCAAACTTCTCAGTTTAAATCACCCACCCCCCACCTAAGACCAAAGACCTTTTCCTTCTGTTTGTATAGATTATAACTGTTGATGTTTAATGCATCAGAAGATAAAATTGGAGGACCCAAGTACACATGGCCACCTTGTACACAGGTTTGGAGAGGTCCTGGGACACTTGATGGTCGGCAAGAAATCCAACCTTGGCCGTCAGTATTGCCATGGATGTTAAGGAGATGGCACTGTCACAATTATAGGATGTGCAGTCTACACTAACATATAACAGTATCAGTAAAGATAATACTTTGCCCGCTACCAAATGGAGAATTAACTTAACTCAAGATAAAGAAACTGGGCTTCAGGGTTGTCCAGCTCAGTATTCTGGCAGAAAAATCTTGAAATTTATCGTTTCCATTGATTTGGTTGATTTATCCTTTAAACCGGATTCTAAGAAGTGTGAGAGAACATTTTGTTCCATCAAAGAAAAGAAACCATTGAAATTTGATTTTCTCTTGGCTTCTCTTCTTACAGTAATAAGTCATATAGATGTTTTACTATAAAAGGGCCATGTGTCTGCTTAGGCTTATTGATGTCATCTGAAGACTCGCCTCCTCTAGCACTCTGCTCTGGACTTGGCCCACCAGTGGCTACATTTGACCTGTAATCCAGTGGTTAGCTCATAGTTGATTTCTTTCTATCAGTATAAGCATGGGGTGTGGGTTACTAAATGGTAGAGTGGGATAGCCAGGGAGCAGAGGTTATTGGGGAAATGTTGCGGGAAGAATGTCGGACCAGCAAGAGCAAGATTTAAACCCAGGTGGTTAGAGAAAGAAAGATTTGTTATGCTAGTGGACCAGCATCTTGATCTCTCCAAAAATGGAACCGGCCCTGTAGTTCAGGGCTGCGGGGTTTTTATGCCTCAGAATGCGGAAGCAAGCAAGCAGGAAGGACAAAAGCAGACGTGGCAGTTAGCCTTTCGCTGGGAGGTTACAACATATCATACTAGCACAAGGTTACAGCATACCATACTAACACATCTGTGAAACCGGCCGGCTAGGGGAGGGAGCACATCTGTGAAACTGGGGTCTGTCGAGGGAGGGAGCTTGCCTTTGGATCTTTCCCCTGGGTTTCTTTATCACTATTAGGTGAGAGAGTCAGATGTTACTGAAGCATGTGATTATAAGTTTTTTGCTTAATAAAAGAAGTCCTGTATCATCAAAAAATTGAAACATTTAAAATGTGTTGATTAATTTGATAATAATAGACCCTCAGGGCTTAGGATATGCCTTAATTGTAAAGCACTTGACTAGCATGTGCAAGACTTCAGGTTTGATTCCTAGAATTCTCTACCCCCACACAATAAATCCATTTCACATAAATAATGCTTTCTGAAGTGAAATACAACTCTTTTCTAAGAGAAAATGTTTTTATGATAGGAGTGACATTGTTTTATGTTCTTCAAATCTTAAAGTCTGGCTTAATAAAGTACAGCTGAATTCTCATGAATCTGTTTCTGGATCCATCCTGAATCCATTGAATCAAAAAAAAGTAGGCTCTGAAAAAGTGCTCTTTGTGTTCATGAGAGTGAGAGTGAAAAAGACAAGTGAAACTTTGTATTATCATGAAAATAATTTTGACTTGATTTCAAGAAAGCGTCTTTGGGAGCCAAGGATCTCTGGACGATACTTGTAGTGCTGCTGCTATAGTAAATGACTGTTAACTAGATTTCTACGTGCTTTTGCTTTGGATTGTCTGGATCAGAATTCCTACTTCCTTTCTGGGTGCCATTTAATATTATTTTGTGTCATAGTTTTCTTAAATGAGGCTACTTATGAGCCCTATCTTATATGGATTGTTAGAACTACATAAATAAGGAATGATGTGATAGTAAGTACTTAATGAGATGCTGTCTCCTTGTCCTTTCAAATTTTTAGTCCTGTTATGTTACCTTTGCTCATAATTTTCCACTGGTTTCCAGCCTCACTTAAGGTAAAAACCAAAGTATTTGCAGTGACTTTTATAAGGTTTTCCTTTGTGATCTGCTGTATTGTTACCTCTCTGTTCTCATCTACTTGTCCTGATCCCAAATCCCATTAGCTCACTGAGCAAAAAGTAGCATTTGTGCTGTTCATTCAACACTAGCTCCTGCTTTCTCAGGGCCTTTGGACTTGCTATTCTTCACCTAATATCCACTTTTTTAGATACTGACATGATTTATTCTTTCTTTCCTTTAGATTTTTTTCTTTAATATCTATCACCTATGTGAAATCTTTTTTCATTTAACCCTTCTACAAACTTGATTCCTCTTTCTGCTTATTTTTGAAATCTGCATAGGATTTTGTGTTTTCTAACACTAGGAATTTGCTTGTCTTCCTTATTTTTAGAACTTAGACTCCATTAGGGATGGTTTTGTTTTGTTTTACTTAAATTTTTTTAAATCTCCTTAATACCAAGTTTGATGCTTAATACATTTATTTCGTACTAGAAAATATTTCTTGATTGAGTGAATTATTATAAAAATGAAAGGAAAATAGTTTATGCTTTTCAGAAATGCATAGTTTTCATTGGATAGGCCCTCTGAGATAAAATGAACATACATCTAAGCGTGGTGGCACATGGTCCTCCACCAGGAGTATCATGAATTCGGGTCAGCCTGGGCTACATCGTGAAACTCTGTGTCACAAATGAAACAACAACAAAAAAACCAAACAAAACAAAGAAGTGTTTGACTTGGTATGTTGGACTTATTAAGTGGTAGCTATTATTAAAGGATTAGAACCATAGGTTAAGACATTTTCGATAGAAATAACCTAAGTTTAAAAAAACCTGCATTCACAGTTTAGAGGGTGTGGGAGATCCTGTTGAGCGGCACACTTGTATTTGGACTTTGCTCTGTGGTAATGAGCAGTTTGTTTTTGATTTGCAATTTTGGAGACAGCTGACCTTGTCTCCCAGGCTTTTTATCCCAGGCTGGACTCTTGAACCTCTTGCTCAGCCTCCCAGGTGCTGGGATTCAGGCACAAGCTACCATGTTTGGTTCTGAGCAGTTATTGCATAGTTTTAAAGTACTGTATGAAAGTGGTAGGCTTGGAAGATGAAATCAACGGAAGTCCTTAGGTTGATTGAGAAATTCTTCTGATATCTTAACTACAAATTAATAAAACATTGGCACATTTAAAATATATAATAAAACAATTGGAAAATCATAAACTATGCCCAATTACTAATAACTTTGTCTCATTGTGTGTTAGTGTCAAATTGCCATTTGATCACAGTTGTATGTTTTGAGCTATTTATGTAATTGCCAATGTTTAATACACTTTTTCCTTTGAAACAAAGATCCTTGCTTTAAAGTAAACCAATGTGTTTATATTGGTAACTAACTAACTATATGCTAAACTAACTAACTATATACTAAATATACTAATATAGGGCAAAGTATGTTTAGTCCAGCAAGTATTGGTCAACCACGAAAGACGACACTATCTCCTGCCCAGTTGGATCCCTTTTATACTCAAGGAGATTCTCTGACTTCAGAAGATCACCTCGATGACACTTGGGTGACTGTGTTTGGGTAAGGTTTTTGTACCTTTTAAAAATATTTTCTCTCCCCCAGCATTTGATAGTATTACCAAACAGTGCATGAAAGTTGAAAATCTTGGGCAGGAAACACTCATAATACCTACCACCTAAATTTTTATAGTTGTTAACAGTTTACTGCTTTATGATCTGTCTGTCATCTCTTAAACGTATTTATTAGTTTTTAGAGTAGGGCTGTCCCTTTAGACTTAGGGTGCGAAGGGCCTTTCCCACTTTCTGGTGGCTTACTATTTCTCTACTTCCACTGGACTTTACCAGTTTTAAATTAACAAAATTGAACTTCATTTGTATGCATGCATTATATCATAGGGTTGTTACATTCTAGTCCCAGAATATTAAAATTAGAAGCAGAAGATGACAGTCCTAGAATTATTTAGAATAGTTTTTACAGTAAAAAAAAATAAAATAAAATAATACTTTAAAATCACTTTAGAGAGCATACTGTGTAATTTCTTACTCTTACTGGAGTAAAGACAAATTAAGTGGTTAGTTCAGAGTATCACTGGTGAATAGCAAAGCTTTAGCAGATAACTCCAGTTTTTTTTAAATTCAAGCTGATATTTAGAGTATGCTGTATATGGTTTATTTATCATATTATGTTTTGCCATACTTATATTCGGCCTTACTATATTTATTTTTGGAGTAAAATATACAAAGATTATACACAAGCTCCTTGAAGGAAGAAGAATGCACAGAAAATGTTCTGTGGATTTTACGTATTTATTTAAAATTAAAAAATTCAAATTTATGTAAGAATGTATGATAGAATCTTCCATTTTACTTTGGTTCCTAGCTATAATTTTGTTTTTAAGGCATCGATTGCCACCTTTTTTTTTTTCCTGTGATTCTATACGTTATTGATTCCATTTTTGATAAAAGGGTCATTTCATTCCCTTGTTCTCTGAAAAAAACAAAAAAAACAAAAAAAACTAATGTTCTGCCCTATCCCTATACCATTTTGGCTGGCTTCTTGAGTTTTTTCCCCTTGTTTTATATTTGAAAATTTATATTCTTTTATAAAAATATCTACATGTTTTTGAACATGTATGTCTATTCCTGAGTCTTTTTTTTTTTAGGCTCAATAGTAACTGTCACTTTCAAGATTCTTAATTATGTATTATTTAAAGTATTTTTTTCCTATTTAAGACATTCTCCACTTGTGTATTTTGTTACTTTTATGTTTTAGTAATTCTCTATATGAGTTTAGTTGCAATACTGACGTATTCTCGTTTAAGTGAGAAGGCATTTTATTTTGGTCATTTATAGGGAACTATTTTTAAAGTGCTTCGTGTATCCTTTCTTTGATTTTTTTTTTTTTTTTGTGCTATCATTCATTGTTTTGGGTGATCCTTTAAGGAGTATTGGGATGTTAGTTTCTACTCAAAGTGGTCCTAGAGTGATAGAATTCAGTTTTATTTCTTAGGTACTATCCTAATTTGAAATTATGTTTTTCCTTTTAATTTTTGTGGGCTGAGGTACTCTGCCTCATTTCTTTTCCCTTGGGGTTAGAATTCCATTTCCAGAGATGTATAAGTAAATTAAAAATAAAATCCCAGTTCTGAATGTAGTGAATACACATAAATTTTAATGTGCTTAATTTTCATTGATATTTTGACTCATTTAGTGTTCTAGTCCAACTCTAGATTACTTTATGTATGTGGCTAAAGAACTTCCAGATAAATGATTTTTATACTGCTGATAGCTATTGTTTTCAAATAGAAAATAGCCTTATTGTTTAGACTATAAAAGTAGTAATCTTATTGCAAAATATTCAGATCACACAGAACTTTATAAGGAATTTTCCCTTATAAAGATATGGCATTAAATTTTTGATTACCCTTCTTTTAAATGATTCTATATCATTGTTATTGGTGTTGAATTTTTTGTTTGTCTGTTTGAGGGCTAAATTTCAGAAAACTTAGGTAGTACTCAGGTAACGATGTAATTTAAAATTCTTTCCCTTATAATAACCATATATACCTAAATGTTGCTTATGAACACACCTGCTGTAAAATACATTATCTACAGAAGTATAGCTTCATAGGTGCTTTGGAAGATCTGTGATAATGGCTATGAGAGTGAGAATTTTGAAAATTTCAGATACAGGATCTGGGGATGGAGCATAGCTGAGTCAAAACTAACTTTAAGATATTTCCCTTTGAGAAAAGAAAAAAGCTATTTGCCTGGTCATTTACAGAGTCAGCTTGCGTAGAAGAAACCAGGATGGTTTGGGTTATCTTCTTAATGTTCTAGATAGTTAGGGGGAATAATTTATTTAGAAATACTTGTAACTATGGTAACTTGCTTTTGTATCAATAGTGGAAGTTGATTGTTTTGCTTGGATAACTTTTTTTCAGGTTTCCGCAAGCATCTGCTTCCTATATACTGCTACAATTTGCACAATATGGAAATATCTTAAAACATGTGGTAAGGCTTACTTTTTTTTTTTTTCAATTTTAAGATTTTGGCTAAGGAAAAAGAAGCTGTGAATTAAGAGAAAACTATTTCTGAATTTTGTATGTATTTTTAAATTTAAATTTTTCTTTGTTTAAAATTTTGTAAGACTCAAAATTGCATAGTTGAGGAAAATGAATAAAAACAGAAGATAAGTGAGTGAGAGTTTCAGGATCCATTCCTATTTTCTTAAATAGTTCAGTCTCTTAAAAAAGATGGATTATACCATGTATTATAGTACTACTTTCTAATTTGAGCTTGCTTTATTGGGAATAAAGGAAGAGGTGGAAGTTCTGAATTTATAGCTTTTAGAGGTTTTTATCTTATAGAGGACTTAAAACAATGTTTGTACTTTGCACAATACATATCAATTCTTTTTCCAGAACTGTAAACTAACTCCTACACAAAATTGTGTTGATGAATAAATTTTTAAAATTTTTCATAGCAAGTGTCTTTTCATAAGATTTTTCATAGCAAGAATCTTTTACAAGAAATAATTTTCTTTTGAGAATTACTTTACTTTCAGAGAATATTTGCCATATACTCTTATTTTCTAGAATTGAGAAGCTGGATAGAGATCATTGAAACTGTTTTCATAGGATTTTTGTTGATTTCTAATACAGTATTTTACAGAGCATCAAATAAAAAGTGCAAGTATAAAGTCTCATGTTTCTATTTTTTAGTGAAATTTATTAGGTGTAGATTTTATATGTTTTTTATCTTAAGAGACTTCATTCTTTGCAGATGTCTAACACAGGAAATTGGATGCATATTCGTTATCAATCTAAACTGCAGGCCCGGAAAGCCTTAAGCAAAGATGGGAGGATATTTGGAGAATCCATCATGATTGGTGTGAAACCATGTATAGATAAAGTAAGTTTTTGGGCAATATGAAGAAATTAACTTAATCTATATGAAGAGCATAAGACAAATACTGACGTTGGTGATTATGTCACCTGGCCTCTCTGTGCCTCTTTTTTAAGATAGGATTTTAAAGTATTTCTTGTACTAAGCCAAAAATACTTAAATCATAAGACTTTGGAGATAATCAATCCCAACTCCTTCAGTTTTAAATTAAGAAAAGAGACCAAGAAGGCATAAATAACTTGTTCAGCTTTCTTAAAAATGAGGTCTAGGTTTTTAGGTCTCTTGACTACTAACCCATTCTCTGTTGTACAAAGCAACATCAAAAATTTTAGATACTTTAAAGGAATAGTGCTATTTTAGGATGAACTATTTCACAAAAATGGTAGCTGATGGTTAGCTTTTAAGTAGCTGAATCTTTTTGTTACTCTTCTTTTTCAAAATATTTAAAATTATTTTGTATTTAAATCCTTATTAAACAATACTGAGTTCTGTGTGCTGCCTTGTTAGCAATCATTCTTTTGGGAACAGTGTCACCTTACAGAAGTAACTGTGCAAGTCTCAGGACTTTTCTAATAGCTATTTTGTTGCTAATGAGATTTTACAACATTATGTAACTGTGTAGAGGGGCTTTTTCTTGGTTGATGTGTTATCATCTCTTAGGACAACTGCATTAAGCATCTTTTAAAAAGGGCTATCTTGAAGAAAAATCAAAACTTGTGTAGTGAATCAATCATAACATGTGACAAAAACATAAATTAAAAAAATAACTAGGTGTAGTTTAAACTTTCTTTCCTGGCTTATAAATCATTGTGTACATATTTCAATAAGTATATGCTAACTTTTTACTTCATACTGGACACTGTGCTTGTTCCTGGCAAGCTGTTAGCAAGCATGTTTCTGCCTTTACTAAGTGATTGTATAATTGCTGTATCGTATTGTGCTGTAACGGCTGTTCGCAGAGGGTAGAGGGTTCTTTGGGGTTACTGGGTACTAAATAGCTTTAGGCTTGGATTCTCACTTCCAATTCAGGTTTCCCCAAGAATTTTCTGTTTTTGTGCTTGCTGAGTTTTCCTAGTATTTGCTAAGAGATTCTTATTCTTGTGGTTTATAGTTGTATTGGGGTTGTTTGAGGTAACTGAACTGAGATTTCTGGCTCTAATGCAGATCTCAGATGCTAGCCAAGAAGCATGTTCTCAAACCTAAAGTTATTTGAAGGTTAGTTACTTCAAATAAAGTATGCCTTCTTTAATAAAATTTTCTTTGGAAGTTTTGTGCAATATTGAATAATATATGTTCTGTTTAAAATAAGGGATTGTTTCTTTGTTTCTCCAGAGTGTTATGGAAAGCAGTGATAGATGTGCTTTGTCATCTCCAACTCTAGCCTTTACACCACCAATCAAGACCTTAGGTACACCAACACAGCCTGGAAGTACTCCTAGGATTTCTACCATGAGACCTCTTGCTACAGCGTACAAAGCTTCTACTAGTGACTATCAGGTATTTGAAAGATTGGTTTCCTGGTGGGAGTCATTAAACTTCTTATATTTCCTGTTTTAAAGTTAGAATCTTAGATAGTTAGAAAGTGTTTTGAATTCTTTAAAAGTTTAAAAGTTTGCCTGGGCTGGGGATGTAGCTCAGTGATAGAGTACTTGCCAACCATGTGCAAGGTCTTTGGTTTGATTCCCCAACATCATAAAAACAAAAATAAAAACAAACAAAAAAACAATTCCTTGCCATTTCTTAAACCTTTTTGCAGGTCTGTTGTTTTTCTAAGTTGTATTTGCATATATAACAAAGTGTCTATTGTGCACATTGCTGTCATGTTAGAATATTAAAATCCAGGTAAAACCGTAGGGGTGGCTCAAGTGGTAGAGCACTTGCTAAGTTCAAGTTCAAACCTCGATACCACCAGAAACAAACAAACAAAAAACCGTGTTAAATGATGACAAAACTGATGATATATCCCAAGTTATAAAACCTTAGGTTGGAGTAGCTTTGGTTATCAAAAGAAGGCGTTGGCCAGCTCTTACTATTCAGAAAGAAAGTGCTCATTTCAAACACGATTACAGTTCATGATGGTTTTTGTAGAACAGTGGAAGAAATTGTGACTTTTATTCAGTATATTGTTGTTCCTTATTAATTAGCAAGAGTTCTGAATTTAAATGCAGGTCTTTCTGATTTTCCTGAAGTTTGGAGATCATTATATAATTGATTTCTTTTAACCTGTATTTAAAAATCCCATTTCTTGTAGCATTTCAAATTTAGTTTTCTAATTGGAGGAAATGTTACTTGCTTTTCCAAAAGGAATGAGATTTTGCCATTCTTAGGAGCATAAAGATGTTTTAAATCCCAAATTTCCCTTTTTTTTCCTAAATTTTGATCTTTAAAATATTCTGTTCAGTATTACAGCTGCATTTTAGTATTTAAATTAACCATTAATTGTAAAATTGACCATCCCTGAAGAAACTGTAACCTAACATTTCTTTTTTTCCTATGTGTATGTGTGTTTTTTTTTTTTTTTAAACAGGTTATTTCTGACAGACAAACACCAAAAAAAGATGAAAGTCTTGTATCCAAAGCAATGGAGTACATGTTTGGCTGGTAGTATAATAAGAGCTAAGAACTCATCTACAAGGCGGAGGTTGCTACACTAAATCAGATTACTGCCAGTTTCCTTTGGTTAGTTGTATAACCATTGGTGGCAGTGTTAATTATCTATAGCAGCTATTTCTTTCAGAAGCCTCTTTCTTTAAGGATACAGCCTGTTTGTAGCTTGCACTTTAAAAAATGCTTGAGATACATTTTGAAGAAAACTAAAAATCACTCTAAATAGGATTTGTGCTTTCTGTGATAGTGCATGCTTAAGCATAAAAAACTGTAAATTAAATGATTGATTTTTGTGGTGAGGCTTCCTAATCTTCATGAGAAGGTGGTAGATTTCATGAATGAGAACTACAACCACTTCTATTAAGACACAAAGATTATAATTAGTGATTTGAATTATGGTCTTTTATTTTAGATAGTATTTAATATTTTAATTATCTTTGTATATGTCCTGTCATGGATTGTCATCTTTTAGTGTTATAAAACTCAAACATTCTTTTTAAAAACCTACTTGTAAAGTTTCTTGATAATAAACTTTGTCAATTATAAGTACTGAAATATTTTTTGAACTGGTGATTTATTATTAGTTATAAAAAGTTTTAGTTGTTTACTGAAACATAGAAATGTCTTTAACTTTCATATATCTGTAGTCCAGCTCTAATTACTGTTATGTTTTACCATACTTAGTTCTTTTTTTTTTTACTCTTTTATTTTGTTTAAAGCACATTTTAATGTTATTTTAAATCTAAATACTTGAGATATTAAAAAAACACATTTCCATATATAATTAACAATGTTAATGTTTCACTTAACAGTTAATAATTTTCTTGATGTGTAAATGTCCAGTTCATTTAAAAATTTCATAATTGTCTCCAGAATGAAATATTTGTTTATTCAAACCACGATTTAAACTAGGTCTATACAATATTACTCATTAGTTTGTCTTTAGATATCTTAATTAATTAGTTCCCTCTACTCTCCACTGTCAAACACCATGACTTGTTGAAGCAGTCATGTGAATTGCCTATAATGCTCCACAGTCTGTAGTCAGTTTGCTTTTGTTCAGCTTATTTGTCACTTATTCCATGTACTAGAAGTTACCTAATCTAGAGAGGATTAGACTCTGAGTTCACTGTTTTAGCAAGAATACTTGGTAGTAGTATGGTACATGTTATATTAAGTCAAGAAGCATTCAATTCTAGTAGTTTAACTTTTAATGATGTTTTGCTTAATCATTGGGTACACAAGCAGAAGGCTGACACCTTTATTATAAAGTTTCCTGTAACGTTTATACATAATATTTTTTTAAAAGTCTGTATTATTGATGCTTGCCTGTATCTGTTATTTCACTAAGGACTATAAAATAGTGATTTTCCTAAATCTTCAATTTGTTTTTGAATTTGCAAGCTGTAATTCTTTTATATAGAAGATCTTTGCTTTCCTAGGATTATTGGTTATAATAGTAAATAGTTAATCCTTTCCCTTTATTACTTTTCAGAGTAATATTTTGGTGCCTTGGTAACCACCAGTGGTATCCTATAAGCCTAAAAACCATTTTTTTTTATATCACTATACTTGTGGCTTTTTTTTTTTTTAATTTGCTGTTTCATTCAATTGCTGTCATTGTTCTTAGTTCAAATTATCCCCCATTGGCCAGTAAATCTATCAAAGTGGATCTTGTGGATCTTGTGAGAAGAGGTTTTTAATTGAAATACTCTAGATAATCTGCATCTTTCCTTTAATACATTTTTATAAATGTTAACTAAAAGAACATATATGGACCATTTTGATAGGTTTTTAAAATCACAGGAATGTAAAATTAAGTTTTCTGAAATGAAGTGATACTAAGGAATGTACCAGCATGGTTGAAAATCCAGTTATTATTAACTGTTATCTTTTTTTGTTTTGAGATAGGGTCTTGCCAGGTAGACCAGGCTGGCCTGAAACTTGCAGTTCTCCTGCCTTGGTCTCCTGAGTGCTGGGATTATAAGTATGTACCACCCTGCCCAGTTCATCCAAAAATTTATATATTGAAGTCTTTTTCTTTCAACTTAAAAATAAGATTATATTTTATATCCCGTTTCATTACTTGAAGAAACTCAATTTTTTAAGATAGAGCTAGGTATAAATTTCACTGTATATAACTTGGAGTTATATACATTTTTATAAAAGGGCTGTTTTTGTTGTTTATTGGAGGGTACATTTTATGTGCATAGGCCTTCATGGAACACGAAATTTGATTTTTGGCTGAAAATATTTGTTGCTCTATTTGGGATTTGCTTCCCCCAATACCATCTTACGTATGTTTGTATCTATCACATTTACTTAAATAGTGCCAGGGAAATCTCAAGAAGAAAGCTTCTGTATTTTTTGAAATTACAAAAACAAGAGAAGTGAGATCCCTGTAAAGCTAGAAAGGTCCTGAACCAAAGCCTCCTTCTGAAAGTTCAGAAACTGATTCACATAAGAATAACAAAAGATTATAGTCTCACTAACTTACATTTTTTTAAAAAAAAGGAGGATAAGAGCCAGGTGCTTAGCTCATGCTTCTAATTCTTGGGAGCCTGAGATTGGGAAGATCTCAGTTCAAGGCCAGCCTGGGCAAAAAGTTCAAGAGACTCCATCCCTAAAATAACCAGAGCAAAATGGACTGGAGGTGTGGTTCAAGTGGTAAAATGCCTGCTTTGCAAGTGCGAAGCCATGAGTTCAAACCCAGTCCTACCAAAAAAAAAAAAAAAAAAAAAGGAGTAAAAGCTAACACTCCCATAGACATTGAGAGCACACCAGAAAGTCATGCTCATAAAATGGGTAAAAACTAGAACAAGATGTGAAAGAATAGCAAAAATCAATTTGAAAAATTTGAGAAAGTATTAGAAGTAGAAGGAAAAATGGCCCAGAAATTAAAAATTAAACTAGAATGAACAAATGCAGATGAATAAGAGAGTACCTTGAAGGGCACGTAAGGAATGGAGGATGGCAGGCCGAGGTGGCTCTGTGGTAGAGTGCGTGCCTGCCATCCACGAGGTATTGGATTTGGTCCTCAGCACTGCAAAAATAGAAATAAAAAAAAAATTAAATTGGAAATCAGAAAGAAAAGAGATAAGGATCAATAGGGAAATGATAAATTTTAGAAATAGAAAAGAAAAAGATATGTCATATGTACAGAACAAAAGACTATCTGGCTAAACCCCGCAAAGGTTTGGAACTACATATTGGATGAGCACCCTGCCTATCTTAGAATATTATCCAGAGAAACCAACAGCAAAATACAAACTTCAGGTTTGGCTATCTTGGCACAAATAGCAAGGGACTTGTAAGAACAAGACTTAACAGCAGCACTATTTCAGGGGGGAAAAAAAGATTAACACATTTAAGATATATGTGGAATGAAAATGTGAGCAGAAGACTATATGAAGCAAAACTGACTTTTAAGGATAAAAATCACTGTCTCATAAATCACCTAGATACAAGAATTCAGGGAACATGTTTCCCGAGGAATGAATGCAAACCGAATAACTAAATAGGTAATGTTTATCATCTGTGGTGAGCATTTAATATTTGATATCACATCACTAGACCAAAGTGCTGCCCAGGTTTGTTGCTTAAAGCTCAGTCAAATGGGTTGATTTTCTCTTTCAGAAGACCTGCTTAGAGTCTAGTATGGCAGTAACTTTTGGTTTAAAGTAAAATACCAGGCTGACTCCTCTGTGAGCCACGCCTGTGTTTTCTGTCTGTCCTAAGCATATGGTAAGTGAATCCCACTGAAATCATAGCTTGTGAGATTAGGGAGAGGTGTTGATATTTTGGAGGTTAAGTGGCATTGTGTATTCCACTGCCTTGTTAATTTGGAGCTTTGAGAACTTCTTGGGCCCCAAGATGAATGTACCATGAGTTGCTACTGTGCTGATCTAGTGTTAGGATCTGGTGGATCTGATAATACCCAGCTTTTGATGGGTAGCTCTGTAGTTGATGTACTATGATGTAATTGATGGCTAGGTGCTAAGTCCCTGCTAGGAACCAGTGGAATGCCAGGAGCTGTTTTACACAGCCAATAGTTAACTGCTACAGAAAGGTAAGAATGCAGAAAGACTAGCCTTGCTACAGAAACAGAGATTTGTATTATGACTTCTGCAATCAGGGCTTGCAAGAGATTCCATATAGAATTCTAGTCCACCATAGATATCTCTAGCATTATGAGGTTTGGCAGCTCATATGGCCCAAATGGCAGGACTATTTGTACTGCAGTCTGTACTTGCTCCAGAGCCCTCTAACTCTGGGACCTATTAAAGTCTTCTGAGTCACCTTGGAAATGGTGGAAGCTATTTTTTAATCAGCCAAGGGCTGTATCTTTTTAGCAGTAGAAGGAGCAAAGTGCAATGATTTACTTTTAGAGAGGGGCTGTCCCAACATGTTCCAGACCAACAGACCCCACATAATTTCACCAATGTGGCAATTTCTGAATTTTTCAGCTTTTCTCTATTCTCTGTGATGCATATGACTTACCAAAGTGTTCAGAATACTTGCCAGAAAAAGAAATTTTTTAAGGGGATTGTAGTAACTCAGTGGTACAGTGCTTGCCTAGCATGCTTGAGGCCTTTGGTTTGATACCCAGCACTGAACTAAGTAATTAGTGATAAATTACGTATCATAAAATTTACCACCTTACTATTTTTGTTTTTTAATTTTTGTGGTACTGGGGTTTGAAATCAAGAGCTTTGTCTTTGCTAGGCAGGTGTTCTACTGCTGGAGCCACACGTCCAGCCCTTTTTGCTCTGGTTATTTTGGAGATGCTTTCTTGCCCAGACTGGCCTGGAGTGAGATTCTCTTATTTTAGGCTTCTTGCTGTAGCTGAGATGACAGGTGTGTACCACCATGCCTAGCTTTTTTCCGTTGAGGTGGGTTCTTGTAAAATTTTCTGCCCAGACTGCCCTGGAATCACCATCTTCCCCATCTCAGCTCCCCTAGTGCTTGGGATGACAGGCATAAACCACTGCCCCAGGCTATTGGTTGAGATGAGATTTGGCAGTACCCCCTTTAGGCCTTTCAAACCATGATACTCCCAATCACAGACTTTTTTTTTTTTTCTTCGTGAGACCAAATTTCTTTCTTTTTTTTATTGTTTATTCATTTATTATGTGTATACATTATTTGGGCCATCTCTCCCCCATGCCCCTCCCTCCCTCCCACCACTCTCATTTCCAGGCAGAACCTGTTTTACCCTGTTCTCCAATTTTGTTGAAGAGGAAGCATAAGAGATAATAAGAAAGATGTAGCATTTTTGCTAGCTTGAGATAAGGATAACTATACAAAGAGATTCCTGGCATTGCTTCCATGCACATGTATATTGCAACCCAAATTTGGTTCATCTCTATCAGACCTCTTCACTACTTCCTGGTCCCCTTCCTATAGTGGCCTCTGTCAGTTTAAGATTGCTTTATTAGCTCCTCTACAGTGGGCACATCAAATACTTTCTAGGTTTCCTTCCCTTTTCCTATTCCTCC